GTGCGAGGGGCTTGGACTTCCAGCAAGCATGCGTGAGCATGTTAGATAGGAGCGAATGGAGACAAATGGTTTTTAGGACTTGACGTGCTGTTGGAGTGTAAGCAGGGTAATATTTATGAAGGGATTCAAAGAAACCGGCAGGCCGCACTTGAGTCCTGGAGATGGGAAGTACAGTGCCTGCACTCTGAAGGAGGGGTGTTAATGTTGCAGTTTTATAACTAATATAAGCGTGCCTCTGGCAAGACAGTGGAGTGAATGATGGTGAAAGTTATTCTTTTTCGGGTCATCCTACCTTGGTGAGAGACGGCCGATGTGTTAATAAAAAATAAATAATAATACTTGTGTGTACACTCGTGTGTACATTCGCATTTTTCGTGTATGTGTGCCTCGCCTGATCCTTTCCCCCAGGAGGAATGGCCCAAAAGTATGAGGGACAGCATCAGGAACCTCCCCATTTCTTCTCACACCCCCTCCCTCTCCCATGAAGAAAGACCTGAGGGGAGTATAAGGAGAGTATCAGGAAGATCAGTTGAGGTAGGTTCTCCTGCCGGCACCTTTGAAGCGCCACAAAGTGCAGTTGGACCTTGTTGATGCTCATCTCCCACAACAACCTCTTATCTCCCACAACAACCGCTTATCTCCCCGTACTTATCACCCTCTTCCTCGCCTCTCCCGTGTTTATCACCCACTCACTCGCCTCTCCCCATATTTGTCACACACTCCCAAGTCTCTCCTAATGTTCAGCAACTTCTCCCTCGTCTCTCCCCATTTTCATAATCCTTTCCCTCGCCTCTTCTCATATTTCGCACACTTTTTTACACAAGGTTTGACAAGGTTAGGTTAAGGGGCTCCCTAGCTTTATTGACAAGCTATTTACAAGTTAAGGATTCCTAACTTTATTGACAGGCTAAGAGCTGTTACCTACATCAGCTCATTTGAAAGCATTTTTAGTTATGAAACATACAAGTAGGGAACAGGATGAAGTTGGAGCCATCTGTGGGCCAGCATTTTCATTTGATCAACTGACTAGATCTCGTTGACATCATAATGCTGTACGAATGTGTTCCAGACTCGAGTCATCCTGGGGATAAATGATCTCAGATGAAGTGATGTTCTGGAGAAGGGTACAGCCAGAGTTTTGCTGCGTTCTGCCCTTCTTGTGGTATAGAAGCTTTTCTCGTTGTCCTCGAAGTGGATCCAAGTGTGGTACTTTGACAATGTTGGCCTTGTACATAACAGAAAGGCCACCCACATCCTTCCTGTGTTGAAGGTTCTGCTACAAGGACAGATCTATCCAGGATGGGTCCTGGCGAGAGATGAGACGTCTTGCTCTGTTCTCTACTCTGTCAAGCAGTCGCAGATGAGAGGGGGGGGGAAGGAAAACCAAGAAAGTGGAGCATACTCAAGATGTGAGCATACTTGTGCCTCATACAGAATCCCGCAACCCATACTGTCAAGCAGATGCTAGATACGTCTAGGTGCTGTAAGTTTCCTGGCTGCCTTATTTGCAAGATTTACAACGTGGTTCTTCATGGTCCGTTTGGAGTCAAATTTTACCTCAAGGATATCAGTTTCTTCCCATTTTTTTTCTTCACACACTCATCTAATCACATACTTTTCTATTTCTTCTCATACTTGTTTATCTGCTTTCACAAGTCTATTATTTTATCTTCCTCCTTCGTTAGTGTAAATTCAATCTCTCTTTGTATCTGTTAAATGAACCTCCTTAAACTAGCCCCTCACTCACTCTCTCTCCATCCATCTTTTCTGTGTTCCTTATATCACCTTCCTGTTACTACTCCTCCTCTAACACTTGCCTTTACTGGTCCACTCTATCCCATCCAATCTAATCTCATCCCTTCTTTTACTTATTCAATCTACTTTCCGTCCAACTATCCATTAACCCAATATACATCCTATCTCTCAATCTATTTATACAATCTACCTCGCGTCCCTCCATACTTTCTTTCTCCCTTCAGTCACTCAAATTATTTTTTTTACCTTCTCCCATCATTTCTTTCTAATTCCTCTTTTCCTTTCCTTAACCTTTCTTCGCCATGCTTCCCAGCATAGTTCACCCCCTCCCCCTCCCCCCGTCTTATCTGTCAAACAACTAAGCCTGTTCATGGAAACAACACCCTGGGCTCACTACACCACGATCACCTCAGTCTTACTGGGTTTGTTTACACTTACCTCTTCAAGGCTCAGGAATCGATTACCTCTCACATCGTCTTGTGTATATAGTTCTGCAAGACTGGGGGACTGATACCTCATCTTCCACTGTCTTGGGTGTATAGTGCTACAAGACTGAGGGACTGATTACCTCTCACACTGTCTTGTGTACATATGTCTAAAAGGCTGAGGGACTGATTACCTCGTCTGTAATCGCATATCTCTGTATTGAAATGTTAAAAAAAATACACTGACAAACCTTCTTTTAAAATAAAGATACCCAGGTACAGAACATGTCTAATTCCTCATCTTGTCGGAAGTGTACAACATTACAGAAATGATAACACACCTTTGAGCTAGATCTCGCCTGATAACACCTTTCTTGAGCTAGATCTTACCGTATAACACCTTTCTTGAGCAAGATCTCACCTGATAACACCTTTCTTGAGCAAGATCTCACCTGATAACACCTTTCTTGAGCAAGATCTCACCTGATAACACCTTTCTTGAGCAAGATCTCACCTGATAACACCTTTCTTGAGCAAGATCTCACCTGATAACACCTTTCTTGAGCAAGATCTCACCTGATAACACCTTTCTTGAGCAAGATCTCACCTGATAACACCTTTCTTGAGCAAGATCTCACCTGATAACACCTTTCTTGAGCAAGATCTCACCGGGTAACACCTTTAAGATTACAATGGTAGTTTTAAAATTTCAAGAACACAATCACACTTGATAAAAGAACAAGATCTTAGGGAAACTATTATTTTATCATTATTATTATTATTAAGAGGACAAGGAGTATCTTGAAGGAGTAAACACGAGTTTGTATTGACGACAGAGCACTTTCAACAGTGGTCCTTCCCTCCCCCATCCCCTAGTATTTTTAAGCTTACATAGACCTGTTGAATATCTTTAAACAGGATGGCGGGGGATGGAGAGAGAGAGAGAGAGAGAGAAAGTCAAACAGGTGGAGCACCATCTCACAAGATCGACGGCGACACATCGCCAACACCACACACAAGTTTAGACAAGCTGGTAGGTAAGACACATAGGCTAACTGTTGCCTACGTATCTTACCTACCAACCTGTCGGTATTGTATACCATTTTGATATTCACTTAAGTCAAGCT